GTGCGGGTTATTTGTGGAGCATCCTATTTGTACTCATCTGTATAAAAACGTCAGAATATGAACTTCTGACTCGTAGGAGAAAACGGAGATCCACTGAGCGCATGTTCACATGGAACTTCAAATAAACGCGTTTTCATTCCTTTGTCCCAGTCACACATCTGAGGTTCACAGACAATGAGCTGTTGTGGACGTTGAGTAGGAGGATGGACTTGATCATCACGGCATCATGATGCTTACGCCATTACATAAAAACGGTAAGGAAACGAACAATGGAGAAACCTTATTGTTCTATGTCTGTTCAATTGTCTGTTCTATGTTGTAATGAATGACTGAAGTGTATAATATTTTCAACATATGAATACATCATACTTATGTCTGGAAGGTTTTGCATAGCCTATGCGGCAGCAGAATTAACCTTGTGTCTGCAGTAGCCAGGGTCATTCTGCAAGACGGCGACAGCAGTGATGTGATCATTGATTGATGACTGGCACCAGGATGGTATATACTGCTGCTCGTCTTATTACTTATTACGCAACCCCCTGTCTCCCTCCCTTCTTCCCCCATCTCTCTCTCTCAACACCAGCCACATACCACTTTAATCTTGAATTAATTACCATGATTAACTTGTATTCATCACGAGCAGGAACGGCGCTCGGTCGGCCTTGCTGGTCTACTCCACAGTCATGCATGTACAATGAAGGCCCAGTAAAAATTACGTGCCATAAAATTATTGCTTAATAAGCAGAATTAAATTACTCCTTACAGTTTGTCTGGCGAAGAAAGTTTAGCCACTAGATACATATCCAGATGTCCTCCTGTTAATCTTTTTAGGATCTTGTTCGAGGGCCTTTTGTGTATTCATTAGCTATTGCACTCCTCAGGAACGATATAGTCGTCTCCTGCTACAAAACAAAATTCGATACATCTGCAGTGTGCTGTTACCCTAATTTTATGTGATTAGTTACACTCGGGAAAGAAAAGCTAATTATGTTTTCCACTCATATCCCCGTAGCCATCCTTGGGGAGAATACCATATTCAGTGAACAAATGCCTTTCCTAAGTGGATATGATCATAAAAGTAGGGCATGTAATGTTATAATAACAGGCTCCTACCCTCCAGTGGTTAAAAAAAAAAAAGAGAAAAGAAAACGGGTTTATCCGTCTCCCCTGCGGGCCAGGGGGAAGCTAACAAGAAGGGCAACACGGCAGTGGTTAGCGGATTCGTTTGTTGCTTGTTTACACCACGTAAAACGCTGTCACAAAAAGAACCTCCCACTTACAGGATTCTGAACCTGGCCACCTCACGGTGTCCTTCTCCAAACAATTTAGATCAATATTGACACCTCGATGCATTTCGCTCTGGAGACGACTTTTTAAAATAGGGTAGGTTTCAAGGGATGGACATCGGCGTTCCTGATCTGGTGAAAAGGTCTGAAGTCTCGCAGAAAACCTTGCGTTGTTGTGATGACAGAACATCATGCACACACAATTGTCCATTCTCATCTTTAAGCGAGGCCACTCCAGATCGTAAGCTTGAATAATTTTGGTTTCCTTGAGAGGGTGCATACGGGGCCGGATCCTGCCAGGATGGTGGTGCTCCGCTGTTAACGACACCGCCGTCGGGGACGGATCCTCTTGGTAAGGGACCGTGGCTACTAACATCGTCGAAAGGTAAGGATCCTGTTAGTGAGGGACCGAGACTACCAAACATCGTCTAAGGGTAAGGATCCTGTTGGTAAGAGATCACGGGTGTTGACAACGCTAACGGTTACCAACACCGAAGAAGTCCGCTACTACCACACCGCCGAAAGGAACGGATCTCTGGATAGAATGAAGCTAGGATAATTAACGCTACGCTGGGGGTAGGGGGATGAAGGGGAAAGGGGAGAGAGATAGATGGAGAGGAGGACAGGGGGATAAGAAGGACGGAAGGGCGGTGGGTGAATCTGAGGACTGACGGATTGTAGACCTGGCCATGGCGACACATGGTAGACCTGTCCAGGGAAACGCATGGTAGACCAGCTCAGAGCGATATAAGATAGACTAATTCTGGGCTATATAAAGTAAACCTGGCCAGGACGACATATCAGTCCTTGTCTAGGCGACACATGCCAGAGCTGGCCTAGGTGGCAAATGGAAGACCTGGCGTGGGTTAAACATGGCAGATCAGTATGGGTGACGTGGCCTAGGTAACACATAGTAAACCTGGTCTTTGTGACACATGGCAATTGTAGCCTGGTCATGCCACAGCTAAGAGAAAACACGGCTTCCCAGCTGCGAAAATGCCTGTTGTCACAGCTAAGGACATACTGGTTTTCATTGCTAAAAGAATGCTGACTATGCTTTGGATCTATCCTCTTCATTGGCTCGACCCTGATTACCTCCCGTTTCCCAGGCGCTATGTGACCTCTTTGGTACAACTCTTCCTTGGCGGTCAAAAACTTTTGCTCTTCGACCTGTTAGTGAAAAAGGCGTTGATCCTTGAAGCATGAAGCAAATCACGTTCGAGGAAGTTATCTCTGGGCTCTTTCAAGTTCTAACAGTATAAAATCTTGTCAAGGGGTTTTTATATGAACACTCCTTTATATATCTCTCTCTAGTATTTTTTTTAACTCGCATTCTAAATGTTGAGGAAAGCAAAATATAATAACAGTATTCTGCAAGCCAACGAGGGTCGACTGCTAAATATGGTCTTTGAAATTACAATTACCTCAAATTCAGGATATGACCCTCCTGTGTTTTGCTGCGCATCGTTAGAAAAAGCATTGTACCCCCGCGATGGAACAGCTGGTAGTGGTATATATATATATATATTATATATATATATATATATATATATATATATATATATATATATATATATATATATATATATATATATATATATATATATATATTATATATATATATGTGTGTGTGTGTGTATGTGTGTGTGTGTCGTGCCGAATATGTAAAACTGGTCAGTTAGCAAGAACTCATTTAAAATTAAGTCCTTTCTAAAAATTTCTCTTATACGTTTAAAGATATATTTTTTCCATTAATGTTAATGTAAAAAAATTTAATTTTGCTCCAAAAGAATCTTAGAAAACTTACCTAACCTTATTATAACAAGAACAATTTATTTTAGCCTAACCCAACTAAATATATTTTAGATTTGTTTACAGTAATTTAATACTAAACAAACACAGTGAAATATATTTTTTTCGTTAGGTTCAGAATGAAACTATTGCATACACAAATTTTCACTTGTCCTATATGGCAAGATGAGCGTTGCTATTTAAGCCAAGATCGCAAGTTCTGCCTATTCGGCACGACATATATATATATATATATATATATTATATATATATATATATATATATATATATATATATATATATATATATATATATATATATATATATATATATGCAAAACAACCACTCTGAAATCATATTCTGAAATCACCTGTTTACTGTGATCTTATTGCATATATATATATATATATATATATATATATATATATATATATATATATATATATATATATATATATATATATATATATTATATATATATATATATATATATATATATAATGTATAAATCTGTTAAGGGCTCTGGGGATCATGGCCCGTCAGGCCCGGTCTCAGACCAGACCACCTCAACTGGAAAATAAATATTACAAGATTAAGAATTTTTAAAAACACACAGGAAATTATTGTAAAATAGAAGTTCATAAAACTGCTTACTTGTTATCTTGCATGTTAATGAGACAAAATGCTAGCCATCCCGTTAGAATTTCCTTTTCGCACTCATAAGAGAGGACGGCAGTGCCTTCCTGAGTGGTTCTGTACCAACCTCCTACTTAGGATACGGAACTTTAACAGGACATGGGGTGAGCAAGGTACTTTAAAACCAAACCAGGTGCAATAGAGTCATGAGCACTCTGATGTTAGACAGTAAACACCCAGGGTGATAGTTCCGTTCTGCCTCGTGAGTATAAAACGGCAAGACTGCTGGTCTTCTCTGTCTCATGAACACGTTAGATGACAGGTAAATCTAACAAATTTTAACTCATATTCGTTATTCACTTTACTTGCCTGTAGGTTTATTAGCCATTCTTATATTTGTAATATTTCCTTTTCAGTGTTTGAAGCCTGGTCTGAGACCGGCCGCGGGCGTGATGAGCTCTTAAACTTTCTATAGAATTCCAAGAATCCTGAGGTTGATTTTGATTCGTTTGATATGCTTTTGTTATTTGTATGACCTTGTTTCTCCCTCTCCCGCACAATTAGTCATCAGGGTGAGGTACCTGCCACGCCCTTGTGTCTCAGTTTGTTTCCTCAGCCGAGATTGTCGACGCTCAGCAGTTGGTGTTTAATAAAGCGCATTCTGATGTGAGGATGAACAGCCCAAGAATTAAGACATCACTGACGAATGTGAAAGTGATCAGCCTGAGTACTAACATATTACTGACGGATGAGCCTGATTACTAGTAGTACTAGTAGCAGTATTAGTAGTAGTAGCAGTAGTACTGGGAACTGCTAAACACGTATGGGTCATACGGTGACCATGGAATGGGAGGTAATCACGTTTCAACGAAGAAAATTAAGAGTAGCTTCAATTCTCTTAATCAAAATCCCTTAGAACGCTATAAAGGCACTTCCCTTGAAAGTTAATTCCGTAGATTAGTTTATTGCACTGAAAACCTCCCTACTTGTTCAGCTCTGCTATACCTAGGATACTCTTTCTTTTGCCAGTTGCTGGTTCTGGGGCTGTTGGCACACACGCTCCCGGCCAGGAATGCTGGATATAAATTCTCCAATAGTAATACTCACCTGCCGGTAAAAACTCACATTTCCTGTGACTTTGTATATCCGTTATCATGGCTCACGAAATCGTAATTACACGATTGCTAGTAATGAGCTGAACGAGTGGGGGGTTTGAACCCATGGCAAATCAGTCCTAAAACAACCGGTTCAGTGATTTGTATATCCGTTCTCTGTTGGTATACTCACTCCTGAAGTCTATGCAGTCAGGACAGCCGCAGTGGGACGGGGAGTTGCCACAGTAGCCATAGTCGCTGCAGCAAGGCCGGTCACTGTTTGGGTCGCACTCTGAGGGTATCCGGCTAGCTAAAGGAAAGTTGGGCCCGCATCGTCCATCCGTCCGCCACCGTACTCTGGGACCTGAGAGGAAGAAAACAAGGTTTCAGTGAGAAAAAAATATCTCAGATATCTCAAATATCCTGTCGAGGAGACAAGATACAAATGCTTTTGAAATCTTTAGGTGGCAGGGACCTTTGGAGATATAAATATAGTTTAGTGGTTAATATTATATTCACGAGGATGTGCTAAGGTTATAAGGATCATGCAGTGCTTGGGGAATTTTAATTAATATTGTTTAATTTGAGGAAGGGGAAGGATTGCTCAAATTCTTTGACTAAAGAGTGTCTCACCAGCATCACAGCTCCTGCCTTGAAGGCTGGTCTAGTAATGACACAGGTCCATCTGTATAACAAAAACCTACAGTAATATTAGACAAAACCATGCAGTTATACATTAGCAAAAAAAAAAAAAAAACCTTATAGATAACAAATTTTATAACCTGCATGAACTGTATCATTAGACATGAAGAGCACTTCACACCTCCATTAAAGATGCAATTAATTGACATTACTTTTATCAAAGAAATAACTTGACGAGTATGTGTCAAAAATATGTTCACTGGTTAAGCCAGCTATAGAAGTGCAAAAAATGAAGAGAGGGGGAATTGAAGTATATTTCTTTCGGATTCGATCTCACATTGACATTCCTATATGTTGAGGATGATAAATTTGTTAACGTTGATACACTGCCGCTCCCAGTATAGATGTGATAAACTAACTAATGGATGGTTGGTTAATAAGGTTTAAAGCCTATCGACCCCACTAGGGGTCATTAAACCGGCACGTAACCTTTTCACCATCAGATAAGAATACCTTAATTCCTAAAATAAGGATTATAGTAAACTATCATTTTATTTATGCTTAGAAAAATACACCTCTATGTATATATCCCGCGAAAATAACTAATTCACGAATGCAAATAATGTCTCAAAATTTACAAAACAATTATTATTATTATTATTATTATTAAAGATTAGCCGGTATTCTCCCGGCCCGGGCCTTTTCCAAGTGGTGGCCCGGCCTTGGCTCCCTCTTTAGGGAGTGTCTGAGACCTAAGTCTCCCATGGGAGGAGGCACAAGTACCTCCTCATCTTTGGGACCAACTGTCCCCAGGCCTAGCCACAAGCTAGGCCTCTCTGGTCTGCCATCCCCGCCCCAAGGGAGCAAATGGGAATGACAGTCTTATGAGCTAAAGGCTCGGGCTCAGGCACCTACCCTACCCTAGAAGGGTTAGGCATGGTGTCGATCTACAAAACAATGACGTTTTATTCACCAATATAATGCAAGCGTCTCAAAATATGCTTTTCACCATCAGTGAATTATAATATTAATTTAAAAACATTATCTAAATACACATTGTGAACAATAAACGATAAATTTCATTAATAGAAATGAAGGGTTTGTTGACATTTGAACGTCGATAGGTAGTAGATACGAAACATAGAAGTTAATTGTGACTGGGTTACGCAGTAGTGTTGCGTTCCTTTTTAGGCATAACTAACCAAAATCAGAGATAAAACTAGGCGTTGTTTCGGTCAGTCCTTGACATCATTAATTTGCGAATGATAGTGGCAAATAACGGACAGAAACAATGTCTGATTTAATCTCTTATTAGTGGATTAGAGGTGAATTATTCCAGTAACGGTATTCTGGATTAGTTGTGAAACGTTCCAGACAAGGTTTGATGGGTTAGTTGTGAATTGTTCCAGATACGATTTGATGGAGTTAATTGTAAAATTTTCTAGACACTGTATGATGGGCTGGTTGTGAATTGTTTCAGTCACGGTACGATAGGCTAGTGGTGAATTGTTCCAGCCACAATATTGAAACTGTCTTAACTGTTCCAGCCACAGTACCGAGGGACAGTTGTGAATTGTTCCAGCCACGGTTTTGTGAGTAATGTGTGAATTCTTTCAGCCAAGATATGGCGAGTTAATTGTGAAATGTTACAGTAGCGGTATTCTGGATTAGTTGTGAAATGTGCCAGCCACAATACTGGATTAGTTATGAGAGCTTCCAACCAGTGTATTGTTACTCTCATTCCTCATCACTCAAGCAAGTTATAAATGTTAAATTGTGGAAATAAATCCACATCGTCAACTCAAATCGGTACACCTAGTGACCTCTGCTATGAAAACAATTCATTCAATCAGAAGAGCATATAAAAAAAATATGGTAAATAATAGCAGAGTGGCAGGTGAGACTTTATTTCCGCTAGTGACAAGAGTTACTCAGTTGGATGTGGATCCACAATGTAGATCCACACTTTAACAGGCACAAAACTGCCTTGTCATAGTTCAAGTAAGTTGTTCGTGTCCGCTGCTGCAACTCATGGTGATACTTGTGTTGATTATAATTGCATGTCTGGCTAAACATACTACCCTCATTGTCTCATTACTCATCACGCCCAACAGGACACTTTGAACGAACGTCGACTGAATATATTAGTATTACATTGTTCATAGGAAAAATGCTAGAATGGTAGGAGGTTACACTATTCCTGGATACTGGGAGGTAGTTAGGTTTGACTCGAGTACGGGAAGGGTATGACTGCTACCTGCCTAATATGGGTTTGATCCATCATGGTACAGGGGTCCATATTCTGAACTATTACCTGCTTAACTTAAGTTTGATTCATCGTACTGCAGAACTCTTACCTGGTTGACCGGGGTTCGAGCCTTCCTGACACCTTGTTAACACAGTTTGTTATTTTTAAGAATGTGCGAAATCTCAGTATGTATTCTGAGGGTCTTATTATCATATGAAAATCATTTGCCATCTTCATATGAATGTAGTCCATGAAATCAAGGTTTGTTTTGCATGTGTATACAGTTTAATGGAAATAAATATTCCTCAGGAATTATAGCAGTATTTTAAATATCTTTAAATATTTTAAATATCTTTAAAGGGAACATTCCCATTAATCTCCTAAAGACAGAATTTTTAAGAAGATAAAGTATCTTTAAGATTAATATGATTAATCTCTTAGAGACAGTGTCTTTAAGGCGGTCACTTTTAAGGATTTCTCGCGGAAAGTACCGATAAGGTCACTCTCAATAACGTCTTGGAGAAAGTATCTCTAAGGAGGTCAGTCCCAGTACCGAAGTGATGGTAAGTGGCACACAGTGCTACAATATTTTAGGTAATAAAACTACGACATTCACTAGTTTCTCAGAAGTAGCCTTTTACGATTATTTTTTACTGAATGTCACAAATGTTAGGAGGTAAGTCTGTGTCAGTCCTCCTACATGTGTGTGTGTGTGTACTCACCTAATTGAGGTTGCGGGGGTCGAGTCCGAGCTCCTGGCCCCGTGTGTGTGTGTGTGTGTGTGTGTGTGTGCGTGTGTGTGCGTGTGTGCGTGCGTGTGTGTGTGTGTGTGTGTGTGTGTGTGTGTGTGTGTGCGTGCGTGTGTGTGTGTGTGTGTGTGTATTAGTAGTAGTAGTAATAGCAGTAATATTAGTAGTAGTATTAGTAGTAATAGCAGTAGTAGAAGTAATAATAGCTGTAGGAGAAATAGTAGCTGTCGTAGTAATAGCATTAGTCATCGTAGTACCATCACTAGTAACATTAATAGTAATAGTAGTAGTAGTAGTAGTAGTAGCAGTAGGAGCAATAGTAATAACCTTCATCCACCTTGACTGTGAAGTAATTCGTCAATTACAGCTCTCTCGTATTAATCTAAGATACCCAATTTCCCCGCACTAGCAAATTTCATTCAGAGTGAGAGCGTCCTAGCAATTTTCATGTAAAAGGTCACCTCAGAGACTTTCATTCATGACATAAGAGTCACAGCATCCTTGGGAGACAAGGTCAGGCAGGACATTACTCCTTACTGGTCTATACTATTCAACAAAAACTCCTTACCATTATTGTGCATATTCTTATTATTCCAATCGGCCTCAAGCACGCACGATCGAGGAAAAAGTGTACTGACTTCCCTGCATCACACACACATACTGAAGAAGGCTTGTCAATGCACATTACGTCTGTCTTTGTCTCTGTCTTTCTGTCTATCTCTTTCTCTCTCTTTCCATAAGACCGAAAAGTTCCGCATTGTTCTTTCAGAGAGCCTCGTCATCAAGCCATGACCTTTTCCTTAACGATAATTTTACCCTACTTCTGCTCTGTTACTTAGATAAATGCTGATGCTACGACATGCATGGCTAGTTAGGTGAAGTTGATGCTAGAGCATATCTGGCTAGCTAGTCAGGCAAACTAGTCGACAGGATATACCTGGCTGACTGCTTGATGCTAGGACATACCTGGCTGGCTACTAGAAGCTAGGACATACCTGGTAGGCTACTTGATGCTAGGACATACCTTCCTTGCTACTTGATGCTAGGCATAGCTAGCTACTTAAGTAAACTAGATGCTAGGATTTTCCTTTATAGCTAGTTAGGATATACCTGGCTAGCTAGAAAGGCAACCTGGTTAACAATGTAAGACTAATCTGAATAATAACAATTAGTAAATATGCCACACAATACGGGATACGACATTTTATTGCGAAGACGTTCGAAAACCAAGGACTTTACCAATTGTAAAGGTCCTTGCTAGACGAAACATCTTCACAATAAAAGACCTGGAGGGCGAAACGTTACCACATTGTGACTTACATAATGCCGGTATAACCAACCAGTGTATTTCCGAAATACTGGAAGGGATTTTGGGTCTTTGTTGCTTATGTAAATTTATTTAGCTAATTGACGGGAGAATAGAGTGAAAATTCACATGAATTGAAAGTTAGTTGAAATTCATGTCATGACGGTATTTCCAGAGAGAGCAATGAGAGTGAAAGCTAATTAAACAGAGCGAAGGTAGGAGAGAAAAAGAATGCAAGATGTTCGTAAAGTAAGAGAACACGAGAGAAAGCTAAAGGTGAGAGAAAGTGTTAGAAGACGAGAGAACGAGACGAGAGAAAGCTGAAGAAAGCGACAGATCGAGAGAAAGTGAGAGAAAAAGAAGAACACTACTCGAAAGTTGAAATAAAAACTAATAAAGAGAAAAAATACACTGAATAC